TCTGTTGTCCATTAGATGACTTTTTTCAGCAAGTCTGTTTTAGACAAAATGGCAATATTCCATGTGGTACCATGCCATTCAGAAATCCAACAGTGCTATCTATGCTTTCTTCCAACGGACTGTTGTGCACATTTTGGCAGCCATAGAGAATTTTGTGATCATTAACCAAGTGTCATTAATCACGTCCTTAAGCTAATGCAACAATTCGATTGTAGGATTTCGTGTTATTAATTAAATTCAGTTTATGAAGCCCAACATTCTGTATTACCAGACAATGCCCCCCAATATGCAGGAAATCTGCATGACTGACCCCACATGACCAACCCCTGTTACAGAGAAATCTAGCCACTTAGACTATTCAAAGAGATCAGTTCTAACAGAATTTAGGAGAGAGACACACCCACTTAAGAAGAAAAGGCAGCAGCTGTTGCAATCTATACCTGCTTTTAAATTATGGGGCTCTTGGCTTTTTGAAGGGAGAGTTGCCTGCCTGGGTTGTTATTTTATTTTATTTTATTTTATTTTGCATGTCTTTGAGTTGGGTGTAGGCGATTTGCCTTTTGCTGGTGGGAACGGTAGTTCTGAGCATTGCCTGTTTTTCCAGTGTGAAGGGGGCATTTTAATACATTCCTAAATGTGTCCCTAGGCCCAAAATGTTGTCTAGAGTAAATTCAGAAACTTCATAGCAACCAGATTAAAACTTAGTATGAAAAAACACAAACAAGAAACCATGGCAGAAAGCCAGGAAAGAGCTCTGGAAAAACCAGAAGAGAACTGAAGAGAGTGGCCTTAAATGAAAATGTGCACCTCCCAAACGCAGTGTTATTTATTTCTTTTTAAAGTATTGATTCCCTCAGCATTGTTGGCCTAAAATACCAACCCAGATATAAGGGTCTTTTAAGAGATGCATAGCCTATGAGAAAACATGTCAAAATGCTGTAGGTAGAGCATGGTCCAGCGGCGTAGCGTGGGTTGTCAGCACCCGGGGCAAGGCAAGTAATTTGCGCCCCCTAACCCGGGGCAAGGCAAGTAATTTGCGCCCCCTAACCCGGGGCAAGGCAAGTAATTTGCGCCCCCTAACCTGCTGCCGCTGCCAGCTTCTTCTTGCTGCTGCCTGGGCTGGTCTGGTGTGGTTCTCTCCCACGCTCAGCGCTGCGCTGGGCGGCCGCTGCACTGTCCCTCCCCCAGATAGTCCCTCGCTCTCTCTCTGCACCGCACGCCTGGCACCCACCCCCTCCACAGTGGGCAGCGACCCAGCGGCTCGGATCGGATTCGCACAGCCAGCACTGCAGTGAGAGAGAGTGAGTGAGCCAGGTAGGGGCAGAGAGCTGCGAGTGCGAGCGCGCGCCCCCCCCAGATGTTGCGCCCGGTGCGGCCGGCCCCCCTGCACCCCCCACGCTACGCCACTGGCATGGTCCATGGTAGAATAACGTGGAAAAAATTACACCATCCTTTGGCCTGTAGTATGTAAGTCTCTGTGCAAGAGACTTCCTTTCTTAAGCAGCTGGCACCCAAACAGCAACACAGCCACCTGCCATTTTGATTGGTTGGCACTTCCAGTTTCCTTCATAAAACTTACCAGATCTATGGTGGTACCAAACTAGGTAAGAAACAGAACACATCTGCTTAAAGGGGACATTTGTTTATGTTTTCTCTGTGCAACTAAGCTGCATCACTGAGTGAATGAGGGTTCTTCAAGCCCAACCGCCGTGTCAGATTCTTTGCACAGTCATTGCACGTAAACCCATTGGCAGGAAGAACTTCCTTACCCAGCATTTCCCAAAAGCAGTATTCTGATTCATGATTTTACAGGCATCGTTCTGGCAAAAAACCATCGCTTTGCCGATAAAGCAAACTCATTCCTGCAGTGGTTGATGCTCTTACCTCCACAGGCCATTTAAGAGATTTGCAAGCTCTCTGCTCAAATATTGGGTGTGGGAGAAAGACTTAGTCATGCCATCCTTATTTTGCAAAGGCTGACTTTTGAATTCCAATACTGTCCTCCAGTGTGTGATATTATCAACCTGCCCCTTGGATATAACATTACCTCACTAGCTAAGTATCTTATCTGCAGGCCAAGGAGGGAAAGAGAGTAAGCATGTCATGCCCCCTGCTTTTCAGGTGGAAGCATCTTTCCCCATCCTGAACCAAACACCCATCTCCCCAGACAGCAGGCGAAAGTTGGCGCTCGAAACATAGGGAAGGGACCAGGTTGGAGAAGCCTGGCCTAGAGCTTCTCATTGGTTCTAACTTGCAATGGCAAAAAGCTGGGCTCTCTCCGAAAACAGCAAACACTTTCCAGCCTCACAAGCTTCATGAGCCAGCAGCAAGATCACAGCCTTCAAGGATGCAGCAGAGAGCAAAATCAACCTCCCCTCTTTACTGGCAGAGAATGGGCATTGTCCCTCAGATGGGCCTGCTTCCCTCAGCATGGCTCATAGCATGGCTCTGCTTTTTCTCTGTGTGCTAGTTTCTGCAATGGAGCTGTCTGGAACAGGGGTCTTTTTCCGTGACCAGGGCAGCTGTCTACAAGCTCCACCTGGTACGCCAGCTGAGACTCTACCTGTCCACGCACTGTCTCGCCAGAGTGGTACATGCTCTGGTTATCTCCCGCTTGGACTACTGCAATTCACTCTATGTGGTGCCTTTGAAGGTGACTCGGAAACTACAACTAATACAGAATGCAGCAGCTAGACTGGGAGCAGCCGCCAGGACCATATAACACTGGACCTAAAGGATCGACACTGGTTCCAAGTACATTTCTGAGCACAATTCAAAGTGTTGATGCTGACTTTTAAAGTCCCTGTACAGTGGTACCTCGGGTTACATACGCTTCAGGTTACAGACTCCGCTGACCCAGAAATAGTGCTTCAGGTTAAGAACTTTGATTCAGGATGAGAACAGAAATCGTTCTCCGGCGGCACGGCAGCAGCAGGAGGCCCCATTAGCTAAAGTGGTGCTTCAGGTTAAGAACAGTTTCAGGTTAAGAACAGACCTCCGGAACGAACTAAGTACTTAACCCAAGGTACCACTGTATACCTAAAGGAGCATCTCCACTCATTGTTCAGCCTGGATACTGAGGTCCACCTCTGAAGGTCTTCTGGTGGTTCCCTCACTGCAAGAAGTGAAGGGTCCGTGTTTCCTCTTGGAATGAGGCACAGCAGAGACTGTGGTGTCTTTAGGATATATGGTTTATTTACACATATATACAACCTGAGCCTATGATGGAGGGGTTCACAGCATTAACAGCCCAAAAGGGTCTAGTTTCTCCCACAGCCTTGGATTCAAACAGAAATCAGTCATGGTGCTCTGAGTCTTTCTCCATCTTGCTGCCTTTACTAGCTTGCAACCTTTCTTCCTCTAGGTCACATCACAGCCAACCCTAAAGACTCTAATTCAAACTTTGACTTTGTCTTCTAGCTAACTCTGAGTTAAGGGAGGGCCCCACCACTTTGCCCCTTCTGAGTGACTACAGCATTAAGTAACATATTGCAAGCAAGCAAGAATAAAGCATGAATAGGGTCACATGGCATGTTTTAGTGATCCCAATAGTAGAGATTTAAAACTCTTTCACTGACTCAATGTGATTAACTTTGTCTGGATCGTGTCCATTATTCAGAGGGGTTTCTAGACATCACAGATTATAAACAGTGTGTTCAACTCCTAGGAGTACAGGTATTGCTGAATAGCACCAGTTCATTCTACACTGGCAAACATACTTTAAACTGCTTTCAATAAAATGCACTTCTTTTTTCTTTTTTTAATAAGCTAACCTGGAAAATAAACCGAATACAACCAACACAATTTTGCAGCAGAATAATCATTTTAAATGGATTCCATAAAGATTCAAAGGTTTCTTAGTCCAGAAATGCAAAAATGTCACTTAATAAAAAAAAAACAGATAAATAAGACAAAGATGGAAATCAGTGGAATAAACCCGAGGTCATCTCCACTTCCAGAAGCCATTGAAATGTCAGGTGAATATTTCTCAATAATTCCCTGCTCCCAGGCTCCCACTTATAAGACCTTTACCTCTCTGGTATAGAGTGTGATGATGTAATAATAAACTGCAGCTCTTGTTATTGCAGACGCTGCTGTTGCCATAATCACTTACACCCTGCTGTTATGCCTCTTGTCTCCTGGTCTATCTTTTATTCATGGGGGAATAAATTATTATGGAATTAGTTAATCAATCTTGACACTTATCTGAGAGAATTAATCAATCAGTTCCAGGGTTGTTTACCAGGATGTTCTCTCCAAGGGACCAATAAATTATACATAAAATACCTGACAGCAATTACAGGGAATGAGGTAGGGTTGCCAGACTCAATAGAGGACAGGACTTCTGTGCCTTTAATTGCCCTGCTCTCTTTTGAATCTGGAAACCTTAAAGAGAAACCAGCAGACCCTTTGCTTGGAAATTAAACTTACCATCTTTGAATGGCCTGGAACAGTCAAGAGGTTACCTTTTGCCTTCTGGTGTACTGTATCAATAGGTCAGGCTCCCTCAACCTGGACTCCCCAGATCTTTTTTTTTGGACTACAATCTCTATCAGCCCCAGACAGCGATCATGGATGATGGGAGTTGTCTTTCAACAACATCTGGGGGAAACTGCAATGGGTCTCTTGGTGACCCACCCAGACCAAACGGCAACATTGTCAACTCACATATTGCCAAATCAGTGTTATCAAAGAGAGCATCCTATGGGCAGAATCTGCTGCCTGAAACATACTGACCATCTTATAAGACTTGCACCATCAATTAGCAAAGGTACACGCATAATTATAAAGGGGAAGTCTAGGGCTGCCATATGCCCGGATTTCCCGGACCTATCCAGGATTCGTCCCTCAAAACTAGCGTCTGGATGGAATTTCTGAAAATTGGTAAAAATGTCCAGGAAAAGCCAGGCGAACGGCAACCCATGTTAGAAGTGTTTATTTGGGGGAAGGTTGTAAAAACAAAACAAAACAAAAACAGCTTAAAAATTTCAATTTTGGGGGGAGATATTGCAAAAAGCTCTACAAGTGTTGAGTCCAGGTTTCCACCTTTTGAAATATGGCAACTGTAGAATACACTAGAATAGGACACCACTGGCTGTAAAGAAGCACAAAGAAGGCCATATAGAAAATACAGTTTTATGGGCTCAGAGTAAAACTAGCACTTACAAGATCAGACGCGAGTTGAACACGAGGTAGCTTGATAGTGGTGAGTGTAGAAGACCAGCTAACTGAAGGGTCAATATAGAACCATTTGAAAAAAATGTAGCAAGTTTTATATATGCATGCACACACACACACACACACACACACACACACACACACACTTGCCCTGCTTGTCCAATCCTTCCACCACAAAAAAGGATCGTGGGTGTCTGTAAAAGGTTGCGTACTGAATTCCACATAAGCATTGGTAACTTTGTTAACAAAGTTCTATAAGGTTCCCTGAAAAGGCTCTTAATGAAGGCCTGCAGCAGGTTTTCTCATATGATAAGGAGAAGAAGAAGAAGAGTTTGGATTTTATATCCCGCTTTATCACTTACCCCAAGGAGTCTCAAAGCAGCTAGCATTCTCCTTTCCCTTCCTCCACCACAACAAACACTCTGTGAGGTGAGTGAGGCTGAGAGACTTCAAAGAAGTGTGACAAGCCCAAGGTCGCCCAGCAGCTGCATGTGGAGGAGCGGAGAAGTGAACCCAGTTCACCAGATTACGAGTCCACCGCTCTTAACCACTACACCACACTGGCTCTCACACTGGAGGAAGGGGAAGTACAAGTGCTCAAGCAAAAAGTTCAGTGTGCCTGAATTCAACACCATCTGTGCATGTAGGAAACATGTATGTCTCCTCCATACACAACTCCCCTGCTCACAGCAGCTCAAAAGGTGGGTACGTCCTTGTGTACACTTGTGTGTATGTGAACATCCAGGTTAAAGCTGGACACTTGCCCCAATGCCCTATCCTACCTACATGAGTCTACATACCTGGGGTCTGTATAAAACAGAAACCAACTTTTACAATTTTAAAGAGTCTCTCCAGCATATTATCCTCCATAACTATTCAGTATTTTAGACCAAAAGAAAACAAACTGAACAAAGTTAGCCCACATATAAGTCTTGTAACTTAGCCATTTGCTTCATTAATAATAACATAATTAGTAAGTGATAGGTACGTATTCTGGTATGCATTCTTCAAAACGCCTACAATTGAAGGTAAAATATGAAACGATAAAAAAAAAGGTTTTCTGGGCCTGTATACATGCACACACTTTAGAACTTGAAGTAAATAGGGTGTTCTCTGGCAGAATAGTTCAATTTTGAGGAGGTTTCTTTCAATCCATTTGAATAAAGATCAATGCAAATCGATGTTTAATCAAGAGATGCCTATATTCATTTATTCACCCATAGCCTGCAAACAAACTTGACAACTAAACTGTAGAGAAAAAGGTACCGTTCCACATTGCAATAATACTAAAATGAATTATTTAAAAGTTGTTTTATATTTAGGAATGATTTAAAAGTTTAGGGCCATCAGAAGAGGTTGGGGAATGAGATATATATATGCCTTAAAGCTTTTAAAATCTACCTTGCAACAATGGGGTAGGTGATTGTGAAAAGGAGGCAAAGGTAACAAGGATGAATATCAGCAAATGTGAATGCAGGTGCACAGACTCAAGCTTATTTTTAGCTAGAGATGGGAGCTGAAGCAAAGGCAGATGAAGACAAAGCCAGTGTGAACTGTAGACTGAGGGAGGCTTGACAAAATGGTGGTCTGGAGAATGTCAGAGTACTAAGTAGATGGGGAATAAGGATGGTCTTTAAATATGTTTTATTCAGAATAAAGGTAAAGGTACCCCTGACCATTAGGTCCAGTCGCGGACGACTCTGGGGTTGTGCGCTCATCTCGCTCTATAGGCCGAGGGAGCCAGCGTTTGTCCGCAGACAGCTTCTGGGTCATGTGGCCAGCATGACTAAGCCACTTCTGGAGAACCAGAGCAGCACACGGAAATGCCGTTTACCTTCCCGCTGGAGCGGTACCCATTTATCTACTTGCACTTTGACGTGCTTTTGAACTGCCAGGTTGGCAGGAGCAGGGACCGAACAACAGGAGCTCACCCCGTCGTGGGGATTCGAACCACCGACCTTCTGATCGGCAAGCCCTAGGCTCTGTGGTTTAGACCACAGCGCCACCTGCGTCCCTTTATTTCAGAGTAGACCCACTGAAATTAATGGACCCAATGACAGTGAGTCTATTCCAAGTAAGCCTTAGCTGAATACCACCCTAAAACTTTAGAAACCCAAACTCTGCTGCCTGATGTGAAAAGGATGCTCAGTCAGAGCCAACTCAGCAGTATACTTGCAATTTCCAATGGTTGACTCAAAATGTATAACTTTTTCCGTATGGAAAAATAGCTCAGGTATGAACCACTCTCACAAATAAGCGTTTCTCCCCACTGCCTGCTTCCTAAGAAGCTTCATGTTTCCTCCCCCCTTTCTTCTATCCCTGATTATTTATTTCTATTTCAATAAATATGTTTCCATACCACTTACCATTACAGATCAATTTCAAAGCAGTTTTCATAGAGCTCAAACTGAATGGCTAGTGTCCAGGATGTCAAGTTTCCTCTAGATTCCAGGGAGCAAAAGCCTATAAGGTATTGAAAAGCCAATAAACACTGTCTCCTCACTAGTCACGGGATGAACAGTCTAGTGCTAAACCCTTCCCTTGTATCCAAATGCCCCTATTTCAAAACAATGATTGGGTAGAATTTTGTAGCATCACAGACCTTTCCTCCAGAGTTATGGAGCATGGTGCACATCTTTGAATCGTAGAGTTGGAAGGGACCCAAGGGCCAACTATTCCAAACCCCTGCAATGCAGGAATGTCAGCTAAAGCATCCATATCAGATGGCGATCCAACCTCTGCTTGAAAACCTCCAAGGAAGGAGAGTCCACAACCTCCCAAGGGAGACTGTTCCACTGCCGAACAGCTCTTACTGTCAGAAAGTTCTTCACAACTTTCCGGTATTTGGCAGTTAGGCATTGGAATCTGTGGTTGGTGCATGGAAGGGCAGGGTGTGGCCATCGCCTACCCCTTCCTTATGGGGATTCCATTAAAGGAATCCGGCGGTCATGGATCCTGTCCGATGCCCTGTGTGGCTGGTGGCCATGGCACGACCCCCGGTGACATCAGGGGAGAGCTTACAGTTGTATTTGCATCAACAGGCTCCCCCTACTGGTGGTTAACCCCTGTTAGACTTGCCCCTCCCTGAGGGCAGAGTCGAATGTTGGTGTTCTTCCAGTGCCTAAGCCAATACCTCTCACATGCTGTAATCAATAAAGTTGTGGCCTTTTCTAGCCCATTAACCTTTAAATCTGTGTCCGTGTGTCTTTCTTATCCACAAGCGTGGGGAGAGGGTCCTCGAATCGCAAAGTTCTTCCTGATGTTTACTTAGAATCTCCTTTCTTGAAGCCATCAGTTCGAGTCCTACCCTCCAGAGCAGGAGAAATCAAGTTTGTTCCCTCTTCCATGTAGCCCATGAGGTATTTAAAGATGGCTATCATATCTCCTCTCAGTCTCCTCTTTTCAAGACTAAACATGCCCATCTCCTTCCATAAGGCTTTGTTTCCAGACCTTTAATCATCTTGGTTGCCCTCCTCTGCACATGTTCCAGCTTGTCAACATCCTTCTTAAATTGTAGTGCCCAGAATTGGACACAGTATTCCAGGTGTGGTCTGACCAAGGCAGAATATTATTTCCCTTGATCTACTTCTGTTGATCTTATCAAGGGAGGATCTTCAGTTCAAAAAAGCCTCCTCCCCAAGTCTCCAGCTGTGGGTCCTCCACCTTGCATGCCACCAGGTCTCCAAACATGAGACAAGGCAACTCCTCCTCCCTGCCTTGGATAACTTCCTGTGTTTCTGGAGTGGGTCCAGGGCCTAGTGGATGGCAGCAGGTCCTGCTTTGCATGCATAAGGTCGCCGCTTCAACCCCCAGTATCTCCAGGTAGGGTTAGGAGAGCACCTCGTCTGAAGCCTTGGAGAGCTGCTACCAGTCAGTGTAGACAATACTGAGCTAGATGGAGCAGTGGTCTAATTCAGGGTAAAGCAGCTTCTTCTGTTCCTATGGAAGCACTTTTGTTCTCACAATATGCCATCCTACTAATTCTGAAGCAGACATCTGATTTAGAAGACATCTGAAGGCAGCCCTGTATTGGAAAGTAGTTAATGTTTGTTATTTTATGATGTCTTTATATGTGTTGGAAGCCACCCAGAGTTGCTGGGGCAACCCAGCCAGATGGGTGGGGTATTATTATTATTATTTCTTCATAGTAAGTGTTTCATTATAAGGCCATACTCCTCTCTGACGAGCAATTGTCACAGAACCATAGCAATCATTTACAACTCCCTGGAATAAACTTTAAGGTTTTATACCTTATCCATTAGCATCCTGATTAGATTTCCAACCCCTGCCCTCACTCCAAAAATCAGGCAGATACATCGGAACAGCATAATCACTTTAATATCTTCTGCAACTTACAAGTAAGTAATGATGCTTCTTCTTCTCCTCTCTTTTCTTGTGCATGTCATACTTCTACAAATCACAGGTAAGAAAGAGAGAGACTTAGTGCATAATTTGTTATTATAATGAAGGCAGACTCTAGTCAGCTATTACTGGTAAATAACCAGTGATCCTTTCATCTCCTGTCAAGCATAGTGGTGTGGATTATGGCCCAGAAAGCTGCTATCAGCTCTCTCATTTCCGCACAGAAATGGAGGGGGGGGGGACAGGTGTCTGTTGGAGTTGATAGGTGTCTGATCAAAGGGCCAAAAGCTGTCAGAAAACAGCAAGACTTAGGAACCCAATTGGTCTTCAGCGAACACCTCGCCTTTGATCTAAGTACAGTCTCCACTAAAGATTCTATTTGTGCAAAAGCATGAATGAGTTAGTGCTGCAATCTGGAAGGGACAGTTACCATTTCAGATGCTTTGGTAGGTTTGGCAACCTCATTATTCCCGAGACGTAGTGAATGGAAAGGGGGGGAAATTCTGGGAAGCCATTAAGAAATTATTTCCATAAACATTCTGCCTCCGACTCCACCTGGCAAGGTTTGTTTTCTCCCACCCCGAAGAAGACAAGTAAACAGGAACTGAGACCAGGTTCTGTATGAAATGCAAGCTCTAAGTTAAATATCAGAAAAATCGCATCTTCAGAAAAGGAAACAAGCACTGCATGGTTGAAAGGAAAAGGTATTTGGAAGGTTTTCTATGCTGCTACAGTCTGACAAACTTAGGAAATCTCAGGTCAGTGCACTTTGGTGCTTTGTATTTATGAGGGCAATAAGCACAATAATTAATAAGCACGAATGGTTAACTTGAGTTTAAATTTCCCCTTTTTATTAAGAGTTTCAGAAGGAATACTTTCAGCAGGACAAATATGTTCCGTGTTGCTTCTGCTGAAGCCACAAGAGACACTAACTTAATTAAGTAGTCAAGATGATAAAGGACTTTAGAAGCATATAGAACTTGCAAACTATAGCTAAACTAAAAGTCAGTGAACTTCCCCAATATGGCAATTATTAATGACAGGGCTTTATTTCCAGCTGGAACTCACTGGAACTCAGTTCTGGCACCTCTGAGGTGGGCACCATTTGCATTATATTTGCATTAATATTTAATGCTGTATTGTTTTTAAAAGAGTGGCTGGGGAAACTCAGCCAGATGGGCGGGGTATAAATAATAAATTATTATTATTATTATTATTATTAAACAAGGGAGGCATTCATAGTGAGTTCTGGCACCTCTTTTTGTAGAAAAAAAGCACTGAACTAGCACAGCCATGTTAGTTAGGGACATTATATAGCCTCTGTTCACTCTAGTGATGCTTGTAATGTGCATCTAATGCAAGAATAGGAACCAGTGACCATTCTTGTTGGACTACAACTCCCATCAGCCCCAGCCTGTGTGGCCAATGATCAAGAATGATGGGAGTTGTAGTCTAGCAACATTTGGGGGCACTGCAGCTTTCCCAGTTCTGATCTAAGGTAATACCAATTATTGCTCACCACCAAGAAAATTCAGGAGTGGGCAGGAGTGGGCAAGGCAGGAATATAGAAAAGTGTTTTTACTGAGTCAGGCAATTGATTTATCTAGCTCATCGGCCACGAGAGTTCTAATAGCACAAGGATGGAAGACTGAAGAAACCCCAACTAAAGAATCATGGCAAGAAAAATTGATGGACTATGCAAAACTGGCAAAACTGACATACAAGCTATGGGACAAGGATAACTGGGACTTTAAAGATGAATGGGAACCCTTTACAAAGTATTTGAAGATGCAACAAAGCGATCTGGACCCCTTGGCTGGCTTTGAATAAACATTCACAAACTTTTTATTGATAATAATCAGCTAAACAGTTTGAGGATCTATACAACTTTGTAACATGCAGAAAACAGCATTCTCAGAGAAATCAAAGACGGGAACTGAGGGAAGTCAGGGGGTGGGGGTGGGTGGGTTTTGTGTGGGAGGGGGGAGGGAGGAAAAATGGGGGGAATAAGGATGATATGTTTCTGGATAATATGTTTTGTTTTAATTTTGAATTAAAAAAAATTAAAAAAGATTTATCTAGCTCATTATTGTCAACACTGACTGGCAGCCACCAGGGCCGTTTTACGTATATGCGGCGCTGGGGTGCAAAGATCCGCCCGGCGCCTGTCAACCCCCAGGTTGCCCAGAGTTGTTGACCTTTAAGTTGTCGCCGGCCCAAATTTGTGGGCCGGCGAGGCAGAGCCCAACGCAACAACAGTCGAGCCTGAGGCTCATGTGAGCAGTGTGCACTGGGCAGGCCTCTCAACGGTCTGCCAATCCCAGGCGTTCAGGAGGACGGAGGTGGCCAACTGCCTCAGCGCCTCGCTCGCCCACAGCAGAAAAGCTGCGGCTCTCCGACGGGCTCTGCTCCGCTCAGCAGCGGCTGTCGGCTCTTCCCAATCCCCAGACTCCAAATCTTGGCCCCGGACTCTCAGCCTGGCGCCCCTGAGAGCCCAGCGCACGGGTGCCCCGCACCCCTAGCGCCTATTGGTAAGACGGCCCTGGCAGCCACTCTCCTGGTTTTCTGACAGGAATCCTTCTCAGCTCTTCCTGGGGATGTGAACGGATTGATTCTAGGATCTTTTGTATGGAAGGCATGTGCTTTATCACTGAGCTGTTGATGGAGAGAAAATCCAGTAGCTGCGAATTGCTTTCCACCAAATCACCTCAGATTATCTGTATCTTGTATAGAGATTTCCTTCCCCACCCTTTCAAAAGCAACAAAACAAAACAAAACCTACTGGTGAAATTATAAAAGGGATGAAAACTGAAGGCAGCAAACTAAAAGTGTATTGCTTTCGCCAGATAATGTTGAAGAAACATAATTCAATCGTGCCGTGAAATTGTAGTGCGTCTAACATAAAGATGGAGTTTTGTCTGTGTTGGAGGCATTTCCATCCCCTTAGCCTCGAGTAGAGATGGAGGAAGAATCCATTTTAAATGGATTTATGCACAGATTCAGCAGTTCCAGCCTTGCTTTTATTTATTTATTTGATCTATTTATTAATTTTTTATCCTACCCTTCCCCCCCCCCCGCCATCGCCCAAACGAGGCCACAGTGGCAAACAACAAGTGCTAAAAACATCTTTAGAACAATTCCAGTACAAGCCACAACCCTGAGCTCAGTTCCTCTAGACTGAGCAGCTCAGGATGCCGCAGGTCTTTGGCTCAGTAGGGCTACGTTGAAAGGAATCTCTTGACCTTGTTCAGCTGGAGATATGCCAGCATATCTCCACCATCCCAGTGGGAGGGGAACCCTGTTTCAAAGGACTATACATCTATACAGCTGCAAATCTAATGTGTTACGAGCATTATACAAATGTGACACTAGATGGCG